CCAAGCCCCGTCCAACCTGGCCTTGAACACCTCCAGGGATGGGGCAGCCACAGCTTCTCTGGGCAACCTGCACCAGGGGCTCACCACCCTCACAGACAAGAATTTCTTCATATCTAACCTAAATCTCCCCTCTTCCAGTTTGAAGCCATTCCCCCTCGTCCTATCACTTCATGCCCTTGTAAATGGTCCCTCTCCAGCTTTCTTGTAGGCCCCCTTTAGATACCGGAAGGGGTTCTAAGGTCTCCTCGGAGCCTTCTCTTCTCCAGGCTGAACATCCCCAACTCTCCCAGCCTGTCCTCCCAGCAGAGGGGCTCCAGCCCTCGCAGCATCTCCAGGGCCTCCTCTGACCCCACTCCCACAGGTCCATGTCCTTCTTATGTTGGGGGCTCCAGAGCTGGACACAATATTCCAGGTGGGGTCTCACCAGAGTGCAGCAGAGGGGCAGAATCCCCTCCCTTGCCCTGCTGGCCATGCTGCTGGGGATACAGCCCAGGGTGCGGGGGGCTTTCTGGGCTCCCAGCGCACATTGCCGGCTCCTGGGAAGCTTCTCACCCACCAACACCCCCAAATCCTTCTCCTCAGGGCTGCTCTCACTGCATTCCCTGCCCAGCCTGGTTTTGTGCTTGGGATTGCTGCGACCCATGTGCAGGACCCTGCACTTGGCTGTGTTGAACTTCATGAGGTTTGCATGGCTCCACCTCTCCAGCCTGTCCAGGTCCCTCTGGATGGCATCCCTCCCCTCCAGTGTGTCAACTGCTCCACACAGCTTGGTGTCATCGGCAAACTTGCTGGGGGTGTGCTCCAGCCCAACATCCGTGTCACCAACAAAGATGTTAAACAGCACCAGTCCCAGTCCCGACCCCTGAGGAACACCACTTGTCACTTCTCACCACTTGGACATCGCCCACCAGCACTAGCAGTGGTGGAAGGTCACTAGTGCAGGCACACGTGCAACATGCTCTGGATTCACGTACACATTTGCAGATCCTTAAGCAGCAGCATGGCCCCTCTGTCTGCCCGGTACCCCTGCCCAGCCCCCAGGTCCTCTGACACTGCCACGGGTCCCCTACTTGCCAGCTGATCCAGCTTGATGCTCACTGCAAACCCACAGCACTCACACACTCATCCCAAAGGCTCCCTGCACTCATGGGCCCCCCAGACACCAGTGTGGACCCTCCACCGACCTGATAACTCTGCCTGGACCTGCAGACTGACTCACCAGCCAGCCAAGCGCACTGACCCGCTCTGTTTTATCCACGAGCCGGCTCTTTTATACCCCTTTCTGCCTGTCCCCCACCTTGTCCTCCCTGATTCCCTTCTGCTGCACATGCCTTCTGCAGTTCACATACTTCCACTGACACCCCCGTATCTGGGACCCCCCCAGCTTTGCAGCCTTACCATCGCAAAAGCCAGGCTGGTCCTGTCTGAAGCAACGCCTGCAGGTTCGTGATATCCCAGCGATTAGCATGAGTGATGAGGTTGGTTTATTATACATATCTCTGCTATCATTTGTTGGCCAGGTCTGTGTCTCTGTATGCTTCATTTACCACCCCCCTCTTTTTCTTGTCGTCCCTTTTGGCAAGGGCCCTGATGAGGTCCCTTTACCCAAGCAGATGCTGTCACCCCCCCAAAAGCCCCCATGCTCCTGGCTGGGGACAGGAGGGTGCTGGACCCGGAGGGGCTCAGCGCCCCGTGGGGTGACGCAGCCCAGTGCACAAACCATCCTCGCTGGCCTCGCCTCTTGGCCAGGGGGAAATTGCTTTTGAGCAATTTTTAAGCTGGTGCTCGGCTTTGCTCCCAGCCCTGTGCTGCCTCTGGGTGTGAATCCCAGCTCCGTCACCTCCCTCCTTCCCGCTGCTGCCTCCGGCCTCTGCCCACGGAAGTGCAAACTGCTGCCAGTCTCCATCCCCTCCCAAGTGTGGGGAGAGCCGCGGGAGGAGGCTGTGATACGCGTCTGTGTAAGGGACGTACCTGTGGACGTTGCCAGAAGAGCACTTCTGGAACAAAAATGTTGCCAAAAGCCCCCCAAATCACTCAGTGACTCATTTTTGAGCGGAGGCAGCACAGGAGGAAATGAGTTGCAGGCTGGGAAGAAGAGTGACGTTTTTGTTTGGTTTTCAGACAAGGAAATGCTTAGCTCGGCTCGGGGTGACTACTCCGGACACAAAGGGTGACAGCCAAGCAGCTCCTGCCCCAGATCGGGGGCCTCCAGGTACGTGGTGTCTCTCGGAAAGCTGTAAATTGACATCACTTTCTGCCATCTGCCAAAATCGGTCATGGTTTTCACCTCTCGTTAGCAAAGCTGGGACTAAGTCAGCGAGTGATAAGAGGGTTTAGGGCGGGGTCAGAGCAGGGCCAGGTCCCATCTTGGTGGGGTGTTGAATTAGTGTTTTGCTTATTTTGCTTTCCCTGGTCTGATACCTCCTCCAGCCCTCGGTGCGGTGGCAGGGGATGTGATAACGAGTCCCAGATTTGTCCTGGAGGAGGAGCGTGCATCCCCAGCTCCATGTGCGTTCGGTCTGGGTTTCTCCTTCTCATCCTGCGCCTTTCCATCTCTTTCTTAGGGCTGGGTAAGAAAAGTAAGGGCCCCATATTAAAACAACTGCCACTTTTTCATGGAATTAGAGGAGGTGGTATAGCTTGTCCTTTGGAATTCCTTTGGAATTTCCCCATCGGAAATTCCTACAACATTTATACCAGTCGGGTACTTTATGCATAAAGCACCGAGTAAACTCAGGCTGATGATGGAAAATTTATTTCAACCTTTGGCATCTGAGGCTCTTCCCTAGATGTTATAAAAACAGGCTGTAATCAGCAATAAACCCCTTTAAAAGTGAATTCTGGCTTTTGGGTTTTTTTAATTCCCTTATTCCTCTTCCCTTTTGCCCTTTCCCTCTCCTTCCCTGTCTCCAGGTTGTGCTCCAGTGAAGAGGATGCTCTCCCATTTCCACCTCTGCAGTTCTCTGCTGTCTTTTATCATTTATGGTTTCGTTTTCCAGGTTCTCGAACTGCAGTCAGGTAGGGACCCCCCCCCCACCATGCTCGCTGATCCCTGTGGCGTTGCTTCCAGCCTGAATATCATTGCCACTGCAGCTACTCCCTGTGAAGGGCAGAGCACAGAGCAGGATTAGGCCCTTTGTCACAAAACTTGTGCAGGTGTGAGAGCACCAGCATCCCTCTGGGTCCTGGTTTGTTCCTCCGGCCATGCCAGCACAGGCATTCTCACAACCTCGCTGAACCCAGGCGGGGATTAGATGATGCCGATGAGTCGATGAGAGTTTGCTGCCATTTCCCTCCCCACTTTCCCTGTTCCCGGCACGTTCCCAGCATGTCATTGC